ATTAAATCCTATGTTATGAAACCTTTGAACAATATCTTTCTTGATACTGACTCCCTCACAAACTCTTGTGTAGGTAATGTATTTTGATATCTTACAACTGGTAATCAGTACAGAGATTTTATTGTGATGTTTCAACTGTTATGTTGGAAATCTTACCAACCTTGTAAATTATAGTAGCTCTATGTTACTGATGGAGATGGGTATAAGTTAGGTCTATTCCAATAAAGAGTATTAAAACAAAAAAATTAAATTAACAATGTTCTTTATGGAACAAACTATCTTAAAAAATAAATCCATTTTGTCCAAAAGACAGCAACCTTTGTATCTTTGAAATATACAGAAAAAAAAGCATATTACATGTAACATAATGCTTAAAGAAATAGATTATTCTTACTTAATAGATTTTTAATATTTACTTGTGATATGAACTTGTATATACCAGAGAGGGCATAAGGCGTTTATTTAGAGTTTAAACTTTGTATTGTAAGTTTTACATTTTTACTTTCTATAAATTTGAATTAAAGGAACGATATTTAAACACATACACTTTTAAACAAAGGCTCTCAACTTACCTCATTTGCATATAGCCAGTCACTGCCAGTATTGCCATACATCAACCTAAACTGAGTGACATAGCGAGTGGAAGCATCCTTTACCACAAGAATCCTAGTTACACGTGTAAGTTGCTGAAAATCAACTTGAAGATATGGTACATATGATCCTTGTTGAATTGAAGGTGCCCACACTATTTGAAAATACAGATAAAATAGCAACATTAATGTCTATTCTTGCAATGTCAATAATCAGTGTAAAGTGCCTGAAAAAAACTACATGCATTCAGTTATTACACAAACTCCTTATTGTTTTTTAAATGTTAGATCTATAGTAGTAATAAAATAAACTGAAGACACACTTTGGCCAAATAAACTATAACGTGTCTGATGATAATTTGTAATATTGTATATTTGTAATATAGAAGACAAAAATATGTATACTGTGTAATCAAATTTTATAAATCTAAATTTCTCAAAAATCTAAAGTCTTGTATTTTGAATGTGTTTTCTGAAAACATTAAATGTTTACTATTAATGGTCACAATAAAGGTTTTGGAACAAAACTTTGTTTTCCCAGAAAGCTGTCTATTTATATAATGAAATAAAACCTTTTTCAGAATAAAATCAGTTCTAAAAATTATACCTTTTTTATACAGTAAAAGGTAACAGCGAGCAGCTGGTAAAATGAATATTATTTGAAACCTTAGGAGAAAACAGAGATCAGTGGAATGGGGAAAATATATATAATTAAGAGTAACTTGTGTTCGTGCTTGTGTGTAAAGCTTTTTAAACTTCAGCAAACTATGCAAAAATGAAATTAGGAGTATGGATTTTATATGAAAACTTAATTTGTTCACATGGTGAAATGATGTCTTTTAAGATCCTTTAATAAGATAAATAAGTAAATATTGTGATTTAAATATATCAGTAAAAACAAACAAAAAAAAACACAAAGCTAAACAATTGGCTATTTGTGCTGTGTCTGCCATGGGTAACAAAACCTGGTTTATAGCATTGTAAGTCTGCAGACATACCGCTGTGCCACTGGAGTGGTATTACTAATGGATCATGCTTTGCCACTTCAGGCATCCTACACTAAATCTCCAATTACTTAGAAAAAAATAATTTAAACGTGTAAAGAACTACATGTTCTGACTTTAGAACAAGGTAAGCCATAATGACATTCACATGTTAGAAGCATATGTTTATTGACAAATGTACTTTGACTATAATGCAAAGAATTAATTTATTTAATATCATTAGTTTTAGTATTTTGGTGTTAATTAAGATTCAAACTCAATAAAAGGGCTGGCATATCAATGCCTTATGAACATTACAGGGCCCTGTAATATTTTTCTCTGGCTTTATGCATGGTTCACACATGTTAATGGAGAAAAATTCCACGACCAAACTTTCATTTTTACGGACTTAGTTTACTGATTTTAACAGAACATGTAATCCAGCCAAACTGAATAGCTAATGTTTTATTATGTTGTATAAGAAATGCAATAACAGCTGTAAAAAGTTTGTTTTACTTATAACAGTAACACCTAGCTGAGCTACTGAAAAACAAGTATTCAAGCAAAAACAAATAATTATGAAACAAGCAATTAAAAGAAATTCTAAATGACTGCCCATTACTGAACAAAACACAAATGAATTCTTCATCATACAAGTCCTCATAATATACTTCAAATTTTCCCAACTTTAGTTTAATATAAAGTAATAAATCCTTGCATTTTTCTCCCAAATACTATGCTTTGGCCAGAGGTAAAAACTTCTCTAATGAGTAACCAAAACTGAATAATATTAACTGAGTAAATTATGTCCACCTGCCAATAGGACAAGTCAACTCGTCCTTGATTGACTGATGAATATACACCACAATATGTCACCATGCCAACCAAGCAAAGATTCACGCCCATCTTGTTACTGAAATCACTTTCATATTATTGTGTGGCATAACAACGTTATATATCTTGTGTGTTTTTTTCCCACTAAATTGAATCCTATTATTTGTAAACATTTTCACAGTTTAATGCAGCAATTCCACCTAACGAAGAATTTGGAACACTGTGGATCAATAAAATCTTTGTATTCCTAAGTGGTGATCAGCCCATATGTTTTCTTGTAAGATGACACATAAGTTTAAACAATAAAATAGTGATTGCTTTGAATAATTTCACATATTGTCAAAAGTTCTATCATGTATATTAGTCATCACAGGGTATGATGAATACAAGTATATTATTATCATATTTATTGTCAAAGGTGCTTTCATGTAAATTAGTCATCACAGGCTATGATAATTACAGGTATACTTCAACATTTCCCAACTGTAATTCAATAAAGTGATATAGCCTTGTATTTTTCTCCCAAAAAGCAAAGATTCACATTCATATTCGGGGATGAAAATGGCCAACACCTGAAAGGTCTGAAAATCTTTGGGCCAGTGTGGCTATCACAATCAATAGGATTTCTATCCAGTGATGGGCTATTTATCAAAAGATATCAATTATATTTTTTTCTACTCTTTTTAGATAAAATAATTTTGCAGTAATTGACAAAAATTTACTATTTATCAAAAGATATCAATTATATTTTTTTCTACTCTTTTTAGATAAAATAATTTTGCA